GACAGAACACATGAGCAATGGGAGAAAGAAATACACCCAGACATAAAATCCACTGAAATTTCTGAGATATATGAGGAAGGAAGACTTGAAGAATTTAATACTCACAGGTAGTATTGAGTGAAGGACAGGTAGAGGAAAAGTTTGTAAATGACAGAACAGTGACAGGGAGTAAAAAAAACAGTCAAAATTTCTGTGATGCACTACGAGTAGGGACATCTTGAAAACTTTAACACTCATAGGATGTATTAATGGAAGGAGATGTTAAAGTATAAACAGTGACCAACTTACCTAATATGAGGCATAGTAAAGAGACTTGTAATTTCTGTGGCACATTATAAGGAATCTTGTTTGGGAAGTATTGAGAGAAGAGCAGGTAACAGGAAATCAGGAAGTATGAGGATGAACAAGGTGGGTAGTCAGATGCAGTTCAGAGCTACAAGAGACAGAAAGTTGTGGAAAGACTTAACTGCCTATGTTCTGAAGGGACACAGCACATAACAGAAGTATATCCATAGTTCTTGATTAAGAACTGTTTTTGTTGTGGCCAGAGGCTGGTTAATAGTAGCCACTCACTTTATAAGAAAGCAAGCAGCATTGGTTACCACTAGCAGGGAGAGAAATTATCTGGTGCTATGTAAAGAATTAGTTAGGGCTGGAATTAAGTAGTAGGCAACTGACAGAGAGAGAGGTAGGCAAAACAATGACAGAAAGAAAAGGCACAAGGAACAAGGTGAGCTTGGGTTTTTTTTTCTTTTACAAAATAAATGAAGAAAGAACATTAATTTTTTGTATCAAATGGTATAGCACATAAATGCTGATGAAGCTTGAAACTGTACAAAGATAGAGAGTATGAAATGCTTGCTCAAGATCTGGAGAGCCTAATTCCAGTCCAAAGACAATGAAAAGATTTACACTATCTTCCCTGTGAATTTCTATTGTCAAAATTACTTGAAAATAAAAGATACAAGTGTGAAATATACGCTCTGGGCACTAAACAATAGAAGCCTGTAATTTCTCCACTAAGTATTGCTTAACAAACAGTTTTCACTCCAGTATAAAGTCCAAGGATAATAAATCAACTCAGTTGACTGCACAAATCATATGCACGATGATGATCCTTGTTTGCTTATTGTACATTCATATCACAGAGTGTGTTATGAATATGAGATGAGATGGAAGGAAGGGAAGATTATGTAGATAGAAAATGATTGACTCTTGTTGACCTGAGGTTCAGAATGTTGAGTTCAGAGAATTCTCCTGGGAAAAAAAACCTGTGTAGCACTTGCTCCTTACATTTGGAATATGGAGAAAATTTGGGTGATTTGATTCTATGGAGGTATCATGATGTGTCTTAGTTGTAAAGGTCTAATCATTTGCCACTAAAATAAAAATAGCAATAAAATTGCAAAGTTGTTCCAGTTAACCAGTGATGTAAGGCTGAGGAGCCACTCAAGTTAGAGTGTTACAGTATAAGAGGCATAGTTTATGCTGATATATTGGAAGATAATGGTTAGATTCTAATGATTGAGAAAAAATCTTTTTGGGAGTCGGTTCTGCAGTGCAATGGTTTGCTGCTCAAATGGAACTTACACATATGGAATGAGGTTGGTTTGCTACAATGTGCCAAGCATGGCAGATCTTAAACTTTGAAGTTTAGAACTGGTGAAAGTAAAAAATGTAGTTCATTTGAGCACTTTTTATGAAAAGAGCAACAGAGCAGTGAGTAGTTTGTGATGCTTTGACACCCCCAAGGATGCAGAGATGCTTTTGGACTCTATCCAGATTGGAAAGTAAGGACTGGGCAGCTCCTGCCCATACATGGCAGCTGTACTCCATTCCTGGCCTGATCTGGCCCTTTTAAACGTAGAGGATAGTACGAGTAGTCAGGTACTTATTGGAGTGGTACAGAGAACCAACCATTTTTCCAGCATGTTAATCATGTGAGCAAGTTGAACCCCTTGATAATTGATTCTTGCCAAAATTAGGTGATTGGGTTTCTTTGAACAGGAATATCTAAGTTGCCAATGGCAGAAATAAGTCTTCTTCTATCAGGTTGAAATTCCTAGAAATTACATTTCTGTCAGCTGCCTGCTTGTGGCATCAGCATATCTCACAGAGAATGCTAATCAGTTTTCTCGTAATTTGTTCTTTTCTTCAGTCGATGACTTCTCGTTCTTTTTTATTCATTTATATCTTATCCTGTTGCTTCTTCTTTCATTCTTCATATTCTCTATTTCTCCTCATGTTCCACTTTCTTCTTTTTCATTCACTTACACTTCCTTTTTTATTTACTTATATTCTCCTCCTCCTCTTTTTCTTACAGATTTATATATACCTAATTTTACTTATCACACGCTCCTCTTTTTCTTTTTTCTTCCTTTTTTCTTTTTTCTCCCCTTTTTCTTTTACTCCCCTTTTTCTTTTTTCTCCCTTTTTTCTCCCCTTTTTCTTTTACTCCCCTTTTTCTTTTTTTTCTACCCTTTTTCTTTTTCTCCCCTTTTTCTTTTACTCCCCTTTTTCTTTTTTCTCCCCTTTTTTCATTTTCTCACCTTTTTTCTTTTTTCTCCCCTTTTTCTTTTACTCCCCTTTTTCTTTTTTCTTCCCTTTTTCTTTTTCGTTTTTCTCCTTTTTCTTTTACTCCCCTTTTTCTTTTTTCTCTTTTTTCTCCTATTTTTCTCATCTTTTTTCCTCTTTTTCTCCTGCTTTTTCTCCCCTCTTCCTCCTCTTCTCTCCTCTTTTTCTCCTTTTACTTTTTCTCCTTTTTTCTTTTTCTCTCCTCTTTTTCTCTTTTCTATTTTTCTCCTCTTTTTCTTTTTCTCTTTTTTCTCCTTTTTTCTTTTTTCTCCTCTTTTTCTCGTTTCTTTTTTTCCCCTTTTTCACCTCTTTTTTTTTTCTCCTCTTTTTCTTCTATTTCTCCTCTTTCTCTTTTCTCCTCTCTCTTTTTCTCCTCTTTTTCTCTTTTTCTTCTCTTTCTCTTTTCTCCTCTTTTCATTTTTTCCTCTTTCTCTTTTTCTCTTTTTTATCTTTCTTCTTCTCCTTCTTCTCTTCCTTCTCCTCCTCCATCATCTTCTTTTCTTCCATATACCATAATTTCCCTTTCCTTTTTCTCCTCCTCCTCTTCCTTCGCCTTCCTTACATTCCCTTCCTTTGACACTCTCCTTTTTCTCCTCCTTCTTCCCCTCCTTCATTATCTATTCATATGCCACTATTTTTCCTCCCTTTTGACATTTTTCTTTCCCTCCTCCTTCTCCTTCTTTTACCTCCTCCTGTCTCTCTATAGTCTTCTAAATGGAAAATAATGCATGAATTGATATTCAACACTTGCACAACATTTACAGAAGTAATGTTTCAGATAGTGACACAAATCCCATAAGTTCTCATAAAAGATGAACTATGTAAACATTTCCTATAAAATTCAACACAGTGGTGAAAAGTGTTAAAACTGTATTTTGTCACTGAAAGCTTGCTCTATCCAGAGATGTTATCATGCTCCCTGTTTCTGTTGGATTTCTCATTGAAATAAATGACACATTACTTTCATAGCATCCTTTATTTATACCGTTGTGGCCAGAGGCTGGTTGATAGAAGCCACTCACTTTGAGGAAGAAAGAATCAGTGGCCAGTACTAGTGAGGGGAGAAAGTATATGCTGCTATTTTAAGGGTTAGCTTTGTTAATGAAAAGGTCACCAGTTAGTTGAGGCTGAAATTAGGTGGCTGGCAACTGACAAATAGAGAGAGAGAAAGTGCAAAACAATGAGAAAAAAAGAAAAGGAACAATGAACAAGGCGAGCTTGTTTTTCTTTCCAAAATAAGGAAAGAATATGACAGAGTTTAACAAAGAATAAGAACTTATTCAATGAAAGTTAATTTGTGTATTTGATTGTCTTGTGTATAGAGAAATGTTTGTAAAAAGTGTTTGAGAAATTGGTCTTAGCATGTTTATTCCATTTGTTAAATGTAAGAATGTGTTCCAAGAGTTTTTCTCCATGAATGTTGGGGATTGTGTGCTGCACTAAATTTGAGAGCACTGATTCCCCTGCAGACCCCAGTGAAAAAGAAATATTTTCTTGTAGTTCCCTACAATTTGAATTTGCCACCATTGATTGAATACCATCACAAGGGTGCTTACTTGAAAGGTCGAAAAGTGTGGAGCAATTGGTCATGGTTAAGTGTAATTGACAAAAAAGAACAAAAATATGGGTGATGAGACCAAGAACTATCCATTTTTATTGATTACAAAGAAATCCCAGCAGGCATCTGTAGGATTTGTAGATATATTTGGGGAGGGAGATGTTCTTAGCAGTCATTTCATTGAGAGTGGAACACATGACCCCTTATTTTCCTTTCTTGCTTATTCTTAACTTTGTGATACAGACAAATAGTTACAATTGTTTTGCATTTTTCTCTTTTTTTATTTAAAAAAAAATTTAAATGATTTTTTGAAATAACATTTTTTTAAAATCACATTTTTTTTTAAATCATATTTTTTTTAAATCACAATTTTTTTCAAAATCCCATTTTTAAAAACCACATTTTTTTTGGTGTGGGTGCATTTTATTTCTTTATATATATATATATATATATATATATATATATATATAATTAAGTTACGAAGAACTTGGTAAACCGAATGGGTAATTCCAAGAGGATGAAATCCTGAGAGCTCAATGTGAATACAGAGCTAATATTTAATGAAAAACAGACCACTTTAAGGTACCATTACAATAATTTATTTCACCAAAATCCTTTTTAAAGGACTCCGGATCATCAGGTAAATTCCAACAATGAAATGAAAGGAAAAATGGGATTAGAAATTGATGGGTAGTGTAATTTTTGTAATTTAACAGGGAGGGTGATAGTTGTAGTTAACGAGACAAGGAAGAGTATAGGGAGGAGTTAATTTCATATTTCTCTAAAGCATGCTTTATATTGGGGTAGGAGGAGTGACAGAACCGTGACCTATTTAAATGGTTAACTTAACGGAAATGATATATATATATATAGATATATATATATAATTATATCTTTTGAATATTTTTTGTATAATTTTTTTTTATATATATATATACATATTTTAATCACAAAGGAGTAGAAAATATGGGATGGGTTAAAGTTCAGGATTGTGCTCCATTTAAAGCATTAAAAAATTCTTTAATTATATTCTACTGATAGGCTTCATAAATAAATCGGCAATGTTCTGGTCTGATGGAATATAGTCCAACTTTAATTAGCACTTCATTACTTCTAAAGTGGTACTTAATGTTGACATGTTTTCAACATTGGTAGTAGATAGGGTTTTAGCTAAAGCTATACTGCCTTGATTGTCACAATAGATAGTGACTTTCTCATTTTCATTTGAGTGAATCATGCTGTTTAATAACTGGATAAGGAATTTTGTTTCTTGTAATACAGCTGCTAATTCCTTGTATTCTGCTTTTCATGTTGAAAATGGTATTCTAAGTTTTCTTGTTTTCTGAGAAGTCATAGAACTGTTTGATGATAATTGAAAACCATGCCTTGCAATGCTGCAGCAATCTTTTGGCTTTCCCCAATCAACTATAGGAGAACAGAAACCATTCTTCAAAAAGTCCAGAAAGGAACAAGTCACTATATCCTGACTACCTATTAATCACACAAAACTAACAAACTTCTTTTTACTTAAACATGAAAACCTGGCAGAATGCATAGCATGTCAAACACCCTATACTGTTAAACACATTCTAATAAAATGTGGTAATTTTGATGTTATCAGATAACACATTTAAAACTCAAATAACATGAGAGATCTCTTCAAAAATGTCAGTGTAGGTGACATTTTTTCCTTCCTGAAAAAATTAAAATTTATACCAAAAAATATAACAGTAAACTTGAACTTTACCCTAGAAATGTATCCCTCAAATCGGTTCCCAATCCATTTAGCAACAAACAATTTCAGACAACTTACTGTCGAAATCAAGAAAAATCCTTGAAAAAACAATAAATCTGACCATACCCCCCCACCCACATTTTACCTCTTGTCATAAAATAACCCCAGATGGGTTGACATGCTGTTAAAATTGATTGATCAATTTATCAATCCCCAATCCATATCACAAAAGCCTTTTAAACTTAGGGGCTTACTAGATTTATTAATCACTAGACTGAGTGTTGTTGAACTTGTTTAGCTTTTATCAAGAGATCCATGGTTGGTCTTGCTGAATATTGCAATAATTGTTTTTCACAACATGACATATATCTGAACAAGTTGCAGTAATAAGGCTATCAACTATTTCTCAGTAATATTTTTCATCGACTTGTTCAACACTGCTTTCATCCAGCATATTGATATCTGTTTCACAAGGCATTGATTGAGGTTTAAAATTATCCATTCCAAATTTGGCTAGAATCATTGCTATATATCTTGTTTGTTTTTTTTTTTTTATTATTCATTTATTTTTTTAAGCAATTAACTCCAAGCAAGGTGGGAGTGCCACTAGTATGCAAGGGACTACTGAGAGTATAATTAAGGGAAAAGACTGTATAGGGGCATGAGGAAAGGATAACAAGAAGAATGGAGGAAGATAAAATGCAACAGAAGATGTTGATTGACATTACATTTAAATCTTTGAAGACTATAGTTATCAGGGAAGCAAGTAAGAGGAAGGGAGTTCCACTGTCAGGAAGTCCAAGAGAAGAAGCTTTTGAAGTAGAAGAGGTGGTTGAATTTAACTGTTTCAACAGTAAAAGGATGGAACGAAGATGTCAACCTAGTAGCATGCTTAAATTCATGCAGTTGGGGCACCAGTGAAAATATCTTGTCAGAGCAGATGCCATGAAAATATTTATAGAAAAGACAGAAGGAAGCCATATTGCATTGGTAAGAAAGTGACTGGAGTCAAAACATCAAGTCAGGACTGATCACATTGCATATCTGGTTTTGGATTTGATCGAGAACCTTGAAATGAACAGAAGGGTCACCAGACCATATATGGCAACTGTATTCCATGCATGAATGAATGGGCTGAAAGAACCATGTCTAAAATCAGATATTTAAAATGTTTCATTTGAACATTTGTTTAAATTATGCAAACTTTTGCAGCAATGAAGATATCATGACTCAAACAACAACAATCAACATTTTATTCAAATATTTTATTCAAATATTTTATTCAAATATTTTATTCAAATATTTTTAATGAAGAATTACAATTTAATGACAATAAATAAATTTATTAAATAATGTAAATATTTAAATTAAATTTTTTTAAATTTATATTAAATTTAAATTAAATTTAAAATGCAGCTAAATTTAATTTAATTTGAATTTTAATTAAATTAAAATATTTTAAAATTGAATTTTAAACTTAATTATTTATATGTGTATATTTAAGTATATAAATATTTAAATTTAATTTATATATACGATATAAATATTTAAATATATAAATATTTTAATATAATATTGTACTGACATCTGAATTTGTAAATTTCAGTATTAGTATACTGAGCTGGCTTAAGATCCTTCCAGATCGGTCTCAACGTAGGTCAGGCACCAAAAACTATACATGTATTGGTGGAAATATAACTTCTTACACCACCTTAGCAATTCTCACACACACTTCACCAGTCCATGATATACACGAATAGATGAGACAATTCTTGGGAACTAATCAGCCTAAGCGTACAAAATTATCACATTTTTTTTTTCTCTAATGCTGTATTCCGTAATATCCAAACTTTCAGAAACATTTTAATAAATTAAATTTCTGAATCTAATTTAATTTCAGAGTATATCACTAAGGCCAGTCATTTTTAAAGTTCTGCAATGTAATTAATCCTGACTTGGCATCTTGACTTCAGTCACTTTCTTGACAACTTGACATGGCTTCCCTCTGTCTTTTTAACAGCTATTTTCATAGAGAATTTTACCCTGGTGCCCAGCCTACATTTAAGTGTGCTACTAGATTGGCATATAGGTCCCACTCTTTTACTGTTGAAATAGCTAAATGTAACCACCACTTCTACTTCAATAGTTTCTTTTCTCACACTCCCAGCATGTGGAACTCCCTACCGTTTATTTGCTTCCCTGATAACTACAATCTTCAAAAATTTAAATGCAATGTCAATCACTATCTTCTAGAATCGCATTCATCTTTTGTCCTTTTCTCAGT